GATACACCTAAAGTTCTCCAAGTGCGGCAGGTGGATGACAAGCTCGCTCGATCACGATAATTCAGACATGAAAATAGCTGGAGTACTGTATCATCGGGCAACCTAGTCCAATCAACTATCCCTCTCTCATCCAAAGTCAAACACTCACCAAGCTCAGCGAAATCAACCTTCTCCTGTCTCCTCCTTGCCAATTTCCTCCGAACCCTCCTGTTCATATCTAAATTCGTCTCTCACACAAATTACTTCACAAAACCAGAGTTCTTACACCACTGATAAAAGCAGACAAGGGCAACTTTCAAACACTTGCTGAGAAACAAATAATCATAAGAAACCGACAAGTGAGTGATGAACAAGTGCTTTTCACACAATAAACCCTAGGAAAACCAGACGTGGTAGCTTCACCAGCAACTACTCAGGTGCTCAAATACAGTAAGATTGGCAAAACTCCAAAAAAGCCAAGAATTATGAGACCCTTTAAAATCCCAAAACCAGCAAAGGATGTCCCTTTGTTAACCTCAATATGCCCTAAGCAGAAACCAAACCAACAACATATATTTACACCACAGCACAATTCAAGATTCAGCTATTACCAAAAAGATCAAAACCCAGATATAACCAAATCTCCAATCTTAAATGCAAGATAATGGGCAAAGTTATAAGGTTTTTCACAAACCTTACTGATTTGGCTTTGTGGGTGTTACGGTAATAAACCCTTTTACTTCCATACTAGGCATTAAAGGTATTACCCAAATTAAGAGAATTTGCATTCAAACAAAGCTTCAGTTTTTAGCTCTAATACTATCCAAGACACAAAAATTTATACACTATGATGATGATGTAGTTATGTATGTATTAAGAGGTATGGATTGGAGGAGATAAAGAGGGTGAAGAAAAAAGGGTCGGACAGAAATCAGATATGTAATCTAAGTGGTAGAAACTTAGAGCCAAAAAAAAAAAAAGGAAAGCAAGCCAAACCCTCAAAGGGCAATTTGTCTACACCTCTCTATCTCTCCTTCTTGTTGTTGGGTATGTTTTGTGTTTTGTGTTTGTATTCCCCAAATGTAAGAACTCTACTGCAGGCAATTATAGAAAGGGAATGAGATTATCCCGGAGATTTTTGTGATATGGGGTTAAGCGGAGATAAATTTGGGTAGATTGTAAAGAAGATTAGTGCTCAAGTGTTTTTCTTTCTTCTTCTTTTTTCTGCTCTTTTCTTTTTCAAAATTTTCTTACAACAAATATCTGTGTTAATTTACATAAAACTTATTCCGGGTTTGATTTAATTCATGACATACATTGATTGATTTGATGTAACAAAATAAGTATAACCTAATGCACAAAGCATCTGTGCAGATCCGAATAAGAGTTGCATATCAACTTACTGGATTAAGTGATTTAACGAGGTTAGAATAAATATTAATTAAGTGAAATACGTTTATATTGCAAATAAATATTAATTAAGTGAAAGAAGTTTATACGTAAATTCATGGCATGTATTTATTGGTTTAATATAAATAAATAAATATAGCCTAGTGCACAAAGAGTCTCGCATTTATACAGATTTCGAAGAAGGGTCGCACCCCGGTGGATATATCTATTGATGCAAGCATAAATAGTTAATTTCTTGGCTTGAACTCGTCGCCCACGTATCATACGAAAACAACTTTAACCTGTTTTAACGCTCGCCTTCGTTAGAATTTGATATAGACACCGTTAATTTACCGTAGAAGATACACTTCTCCGGTAATAAACAACAAGTAAAATTAGTTTCTCAAGAGACCTCTTGGACTAAAGGCACAGAAATCGAGTTGGAAATTACTAGCATTTTACCACTTCCTAACAGCAAAAGAAAAAATAATATTATATATATAGATTGCTGAAAAATCAGAGGTCAACACAAAAACGATCAAGGCAATATATCGTTGCTTAGAATTTCTTAAAAAAGAAATTGGCATCAGTAGGAGCTGCATAACTTTGACTGTTTGGACTTTGAAAAAGGCTATCTTCATAGTAACTTTTATAGCAACAAATGTTTCAACAACTATCGGATTCCAACAACTTAAATTGGGGAACCATAGACACAAATAATTAACCAAACTGAATTAGAGATATCTAATTATTAAAGTTACCACACTGATGCTTTCTCATTGTGCATCCATAAATAATCCATATCGAGTCTTCCATCAACAAATATGAAGTTCATGTCGTGATTATAATTTGAACAGATAAGATAGTAACGAATTATAAACGGTTCATGCATCTTATTAGATGATACTAATGATCATAGGTCGATTGGCTTGATAACTGATAAGGAAAATGATATGGTTTTTGTGGCTTAATTATATAAGAGTATAATGCATGGGAGGTATTGAGGATCTCGAATTCTTAATTACTCTTGTCTCTTATTTCTGCATTCTCACTCTCCTCATTTCTTACTCTTACTATATTTGACAATAAGTCTTGTCCCAATCGGTTCATTATGCCCCTCGCTAATAAACTTATTTATCAAAATATATACATTCTAAGATAGGTATGGGGTCCCAGACACACTGTCCAATTCAATCATATAGCTAGCTTGTAGGTAGTTCTTGATATTCATACATATATTCGTAATTCAACCTTAGCTTTGACAATTTCTTGTATTACAAAGCTTATTACAACCATTTAATTAATATTATTTTTTGCCATGCTTCATTACTTGTCGTCTTGGCTTCCCTCTTGACCTCATCATATTGATTGATCTGCCAAGTTTCAATGGTGTATATATACTTCATAACTATATATAGGTCATGTAGCACATATAGATGAAGTCATATATGGGTGTCTGTAGTATATGGATGTGTGATAGATCTACATGTATTTGTTTGACCAAAAATACAGATCTTGATTCAACTAATTAAATTTATACAAATGAGGATTAATCTTAGTTAACAATAATGTCCCGAAATAGAAATTCTCGGAAGTGTGATAAATAATATATAGATATACTCCAATAGCAACAGTGGCACACAAATAACATTTAAGAAGCCAAACAGAAGTAACGTAGCATTAAATAATGATGAACAACAATAAATGGCATTTATGTAAATAGAACGACTGAGTCGCGTGAGAAAGGATGAAATCAATGGATGTTCTTTCTGACAATGATGAGTGATGGACGAGCTTTAGAATATCTGAGTTATTCTCGAATCTAGTGAAAAAGTGTGGACAAGAATCTTGGTAAAAAGGTTATTTTGTGTGCTTGCAATAAGATTTGATTCTCTCTTTAAAGTCAGAGTATATTTTCCAAAATGAATATCACATGTCCCCTATCATTGTGTATCTTTCTATTTATAGGAAACATGTTCCTAAAAACCCTAATGGTACAAATGCAAAGAATATCCACTAGAATATTCTCTTTAATATCATATCTCAAAACTAGATGTTATAACTCTGTCAAGGGTACTCGATCTTGGCCTCGATCTTTGGCCACTCTTCAATATCAGTCTTTGCTGACTCTTCGACCACGGCCTTCATTGTTAATTAGATTACTTCGACACGTGGCGGCCTAGGAATATTTTAATAATACCATTTCGACTAGAGATAGATTTTGACCCATACAGTTAGTCCATCCATTTATTGAGGCCGATTTTGCGGGCGGGTTCGATGAGCGGATCATGTTATTGGTGGTCGATCAAGCCAGATGAACTACACGGGTCGTGGTTGTTGTGGCGAGCAGGCGACGTGGACCTTTGTAGGCCGCGCATTTCGAATGCCTCGAATTTCCCGGGTGATTTGTTAGAGTCATGTTGTTCATGGGTTGGGATGACGTCATGATTTCATGCATCATTATGACGTATATTCCTGATGCGTCTCTTTATTTTGCGTGTGACCTTTGATTAGACCTGCCGCTTCGGTTCCGATGCTAATCGTGATGAACCATTTTTTTTGTTTTGATGCCATGACCTTTATAAATAGAGATATTTGAACCTGATTTTGAAGTTTAAACCTTCTAATGTTTTGAAGCACCATACCTTCTCTTGCTCTTCTTCTTCTCCAAATTTTTTTTCTGCTTTGTTGTCCTATATCGTTCTTCATTCCCTCTCATTTGTTACTTTCATCCACTATGTTAAATCATGTCTAACGTGTCTTCTGATGATGGTGAGGGGAGTCGTGTTTCTCCCTTGGCAGTGGTGTTCCCCTTCCATGGGGAGAGCGTTCCTGCCACTGTTGAGGGTGAAACCTTCCCGTCGGTGGAGGAGATAATCCCACGCAACCCTGATTCCAGATCTGATTTCACCAAATCACCAGAGGCCGCACCTAAAGCTTTTCGATCAGTGATGATAGTAAATGAATTAGCGGAGCTTAAGGCCAAATTTGGCCTTCCCGATCATATCGATTTGATCCCAGCCGAGGGGGATACGGTACAAGTCCACCGTCTTGGGTATTGCGCCCTCTACTCTTACCCCTTCCAAGTCGGCTATTCTTTTTCCGAGTTCTGTCATCACTACGACGTTTGTCCTGCTCAGCTCGCGTCGTACATCTATAAAATTATAAAGATGCTCACTAAGTTTGCTGAGCTGGTCGGGGTCGAACTGACATTGTGGCACTTAATTCATCTATTCGCTCCTAGGTTTTATAGGGGAACGATGATGAACATTCTCCACCGAGGGGGCAAATGCTTGGTGGTAAAGATTGACGACAAGGCCAATCGTCAATTCTGGTTTAACTTCTTTTTTGTCATAACCGAGGACGTTGTGAACAATGTCAACGACTTTCTTGAGGCTTGGAACTATACTCGTAAGTACTTTGGTTTATCCCCCGTGTTCGGTCCTGAATTTTGACTGTCGTCTTCTTCTTTTGCAGCCAAGACCTTGCCTCCTCCTTTGGACGCTCATATTTCTGACTAATTAGAATGGCGCCTCCCTCACATAATAGGGATTCATGAATGGCCAAGTTTTTTCAAGAAATTCGGGCATGCTCTCCCTTCGACTGGTAATTTTCTTTTTACCATTAGCGCCTTAATTTCTTTGCTCGCTTTCCTTCGCTAATTTTCCCTTTTTCTATTTTTCCTTAGCTTCAGCCAGGGGGTCTAAGAGGAGGTCGAGATCTCCCACGCCCTCGTTCCGGAAGAGGAAGGCCACCACGCCCTCAGTTTTTTCCCCTGTTTCGACCGCGACTGGTCCTATCTTTGTCCCAACTCCTACTGTTGCAGCATCCGACTATGTTTCCACTT